CGGCTTTGTCGCCTGCCTGGGGGGCCGGAGCCCGGTGGATCGGCCAGGGCGCGGCTCCTGGAGGGCTGGTGTGGAAGGAGAAGTGCGCGCTCCTGCGTGTTCCTTCCACCTGCAGGTTTGGGGAATTAGCTGTTTCGTAGACTTTTAACAGGTTAAAAACGTAAAGCAAAGCAGTTACCGCTCTAGTCGTGCGGATGATGCCACAGCATAAAGATGTGTTGTTTTTGTGTGTTTTTAAAATATATATTTTTATTGATTTCAGAAAGGGAGCGGGAGAGAGAGAATCATCAATGATGAGTGAGAACCATGGATCGGCTGCTTCCTGCAGGCCCCTAGTGGGGATCGAGCTGGCAACCAGGGCGGTGCCCTTGACCAGAACCTGGGAACCTTCAGTCCACAGGCCGAGGCTCTAGCCACTGAGCCAAACCAGCGACGGCAAGATGTGTTGTTTTGGAAATCGCAGCCAGCTAAGACATGAGAAAAACTCAACAGGATGGGGCGCTTTTACCTGAGTGTTAAACACGGGAATTTCGGCCCCAGCTAACGTGTGGGAGGCGAAGCAGACAGGAAAGTGGGATTCCGGCTGGAGGCAGGATGCTGCTCAGCTTCTCGGGAAGACGGTCACATCCTGGCGACTCAGCGCTGAAAGGACTCGCTTAGACCTGGCTCGTGATTTCTGAGCAGCACAGCAGCCCCTGATCACTTTATTTTCCAGGAAACTCAGCCAGTACTTCCTAGTTAACTGTCCTTCAGCACATGCTCCGACTTCCAAGGAAATTTTAATTAAATTGTATGGACAGGGCTGTTTTTTACATCCTCTTACTCTTTAAACCTTGTTACTGGTAGCCTTGAATTACCAACTTCAGGAAGAGCAGGGACTATAGGAGAGAAATAGAGCATGCTTACTTGTTTTTACATTTGTGATTGACGTGTTCTTCCTTGCCATATTGCAGGGATTCTGGAATGACAACCTGATTACTACACAGTGGCTGCAGGGACAAAGCCTGGCGCCTTCAGGACAAAACAGTGCTATCCCACAGACCACTTGCTGTGTGAGATGAGAAGACTGCCAACTAAAGACTAAGCTGCAATCAGCCCTGTTAGATTGGAGGAATCAGACTTCCTAACATGGAGTTTGAGGTGGGGGGAGCATTGGCATGCAGTCCTCTTTGCCAAAGTCTCATTAGTAATTCCACTAGGCTTTAAGTGCCTTGAGGACAAGAATCATATTTATTAGGGTGATCAGCATATCGTCAGGCTGGCACAGTGCCTGACATAGCAAGGACTGAATGAATAAACCTCTCCTCCCTTCATCTGTGAGTCTGCGTATAATTATGTGTGCATGTGTATGTGTTGCTATGGAGACATAAATACATTTCTCATAAAAACCTTGCTCTAGGGCAATGGTTCTCAACCTTCTGTCCCTTTAAATACAGTTCCTCATGTTGTGACCCAACCATAACATTATTTTCGTTGCTACTTCCTAACTGTAATGTTGCTACTGTTATGAATCGTCCTGTAAATATCTGATATGCAGGATGGTCTTAGGCGACCCCTGTGAAAGGGTCGTTCGACCTCCAAAGGGGTCGCGACCCACAGGTTGAGAACCGCTGCTCTAGGGTCTAGAACACTCAACTTCAGTGGAGGGTACTAAATCTCAAACAAAGGAAGTAGTTTTCCCTTTCTTGCTCTTCACTAAATTACATTATGTAAGCTGTAAATCCAGGGATGGGCAATAGTAGGGTTACAGTTGTGAGTACGAGAAACAGTTTGTTCTTGTATTATTACTTATTAACTAGGGGCCCGGTGCACAAAATTCGTGCACTGGGGTCGGGGAGTGTCCCTCAGCCCAGCCTGCCCCCTCTCACATACTGGGAGCCCTCAGGCGTTGACCCCCATCACCCTCCAATCACAGGATCGGCCCCTTGCCCAGGCCTAACGCCTCTGCCAGAGGTGTCAGGCCTGGGCAGGGGACCCCCATCTACCCCCATCACTGGCTCTGACCCCCGCCCAGGCCTGATGCCTCTGGCCCAGGAATCATGCCTGGGCAGGGGACCCCCATCTCCCTCTGATC